TCGGCATTCGAGCAAAGTATGTTCAAGTGTTCGGCGGGATTGGTATGAATGTTGGGCAGGTAGCTATGGGCGACATGCTGCTGCGTAGACACTCCCATGTTCCTGTGAGACCTTGACGTGACGTCGTCCTCATCGGAACTATGCGAGCTGGCGAGATCCAGGCTTCTTCCGCCTCCTTCGGCTTGAGAGCCGTCCGAGTCTGATTCCGATTCTCTGCGCTGGCTTCTCACCTCCGTAGAATCCACTGTAATATTGGCGTGAAATTATATGATGTGCAATATTCTTGTTTAATTTGAATTATTAATTAAAATTAGTTTTTTTATAACGTTAATGAAAATAATGATTTTAAATACAAATCAAAATTAAAAGAAGAAAAACAGATGATATATTATAGTATATAAAGTATTAGAATAATGTTATGATATTAGAATAATGTTATGATTATAATAATATTTTGATTAATATCTTAAAATTTCAGGATTTTTCTAATGAATTTATTTTAATGCATATTTAATAAATTTCATCATAAACTGTACCTTGTCGAGTTTGTAGCGCTGATCGATGACTCCTGGACGATAAATACGGATCTCGATCGCTGTTGTAGTTGCTCGTAGATGTTGACGTATGTCTCAAGTGTGTATCGCTACGATAAGGGCTTGAGCCCGTCTTATTTGTACTTCTTGAAGTCGTGCTGCTCGTTGACACGCCGACATGGACTCTCCTACATGCAGATTCGGCTCCGGTGTAGGTCGAAGAGTAAGCCAATGCCGAACGCTAAAATATGATCATCATAATTCATTACAACATTTATTTAAATTTTCATGACTCTTCAAATTACTTTAATAATTAATCTACAAATATAATTTTAAGAAAGCTATTTTTTTCAAATATTTTTAATTTATATTTGAGATTTTTTCCATCTTCTTTTGAAATATAAAACAAGGCATGAACTTTCTTTTGTACTGTGTTTCTTTAAAATATAAAACAAAACAAGATTTTTGAATTTACATACCGAGTGAGCATTCACATTTTGACTGCTACTTCCGTTACCCATGCTGCCTTCCAGCAAAGGTGTCTTTTTGCCGATACATCTTAACAAACTCTGATACAAATTTCTCCTCACTCTGCCATTGATGAAGCAGTAGCCGATCAGGCTGAATGCTGCGTGAACCACGATGGTAACACTCAGCAAGTACGATAGAGTCGGCGAGTTCTCGGATGCATTGAGAACCGCTAGGGTCCATGTCGATCCTAATAAGGGCAACGATGCCACGGAGAGCCATAAAAGCGTTCGCAAATTTCCAAAACCCATGATGTGTTCCTTCAGAGTAAAAGCTGCGCGAATGCACATCACGAGAATGCAAAAGTTTACCAACACGGCTGCGCAGACAGGTCCTATTAGTGACCAGATCACGGTCTCGTAGATGGACAGCCAGCAACTAGAATAGCAAGCAAAAATTTATATGATCAAGATCACATTTAAAAGAATTTTATTTTAGCAGTTCACAATTTGGAAAAAATCATCATATTTTATTACAATAAAGAAATTACTCCATAACTTTCTTCTATTATTTACTTTTTTTCTTTAACAAAAAAGGCAATTTTTAAGTGGCTATATAATTATTAATTAAGTAACTATACATTATATAAAATTATTTCTAGATGCTTCTATTTCTAAAGTAATTTTTTTAAGGAATAAAAGGAAAAGATCAACTTACAAATAGAAATTTCCGTATTGATCTGCCCTGACGCCGATGGTAAGTCCAACGATGACAGCCGGTAGACCGTATCCCATGGTGTAGTAAAATCTCATCTGTCCGTGATTCACATCCCTCATCTCTGTCAACATCCGATAGAGATGAACAGAATCCACGAGGGTCCAGGCGAAAGTGCTCAACCAAGCGTAATGTAGTCCTATCGCCGTCAGTTTGCACGGGAACTCGTTAGAAATCAGAGGACCCCTAGCTTTGAGCGCGATCAAGTACAGAACCTCCGCGACGAAAACACACAATACCAAGTTCTTGTGGATACTGTTGGAATTGGTACCTCCGCCACGAATTAACGCCAAGATCAAGAGGGCGGATAATAATAGCGGCAGAGCGAGCATAAACGCGCTGTAGCTAGTCACATCCTCCAACAGGGATGGCTCGGGAACGTACTCCAGATCAAGGACGTCCGTCAGTGTGGCGAAGGTGGACAATTGCAAGCAGGAACAATTCACAATGGTACCAAATGACAGGGAATTGTCTTCGATTTCCGTCGTGCAGCCCATTCGGCTCCATTCGCCGACTCTGAAATTCATCAATTAAAACAAATTATTTTGTGCCGACTGTCACACGAAATTTTTATCAAGATAAAGTGAAATAAAATCAATTATTATATTAAATTAGTTAAATTAGTAAATATTCTAAAATTATTAAAATTATTAAATAAAAATAATAATTTTAAAATTATTTAATATAAATTGTAATTTTTTCTTTATTTGTGCATATAAAAATTTAATTAACTTTTCTTACCCTCTCGCCGTGCTCCAATGGACACACTGCGGATTTGTTCTAGTTTTAAAATCGTCGTTCTCGTTGAGCCAAAGTCGAACTTGGACCGGTGACTGCAAAGGAATTCCGGTCAAGGACTCGTAACCATTGTCCGAAGGAACCAATACCGAGACGGTCATTACAGGCGAGCCAACTGCTACTTCTACACCCCATCTAAGTGCGACCGAATCGTCGAATCTGTAATATTAAATATCATCATTAAAACTATTTATCCATTTTCTTAACTCTGCTGGAAATACAAAATTTCAAAGAAAATTTATACAGGCTTGTAAAATTGTACAAAATTTATACGGAATGTAAAATGTAATATGCGGAATTATTTATATCAATATAATTGTTATAATTATATATAATATAAGAGATTAGAATTATCTTATAAATTTTTAAAAATAATTAAATTAAAATAATAACTAATAAGAGCATCATCACGCACCTTTTCGGCAAAAGAGCACCGAGTTCTTTGTACTGTACGTAACTCAGCACTGCTTTTCGATTACTTAGACTGTTCTTGACATTCAGCTCGCCCTGCACAGGGGGTTTGATTCCCAGAGTGTTGAGCGGCACTTGGATTTTTGAGTACGGGTCGAATCTACTCGGATCGGCCATATAATTGTTGTACTTCGGGAAGCTGACAGATGGACCAAAGTGCGCCGATGAACTAAGAAAAGCAGAGGTATCGGGGAGGATGATCTTCCGGTCGGCTTCCGAAGGCCTCGCCGTTGATAAGGCAGGATCTTCTTTATATTCGGCGGTCTCATAGCCAAAGAGACTCTCCGATGTTACGATGTCTAGACCGAGTACTAAAATACGATGCATATATATTTAACGATAAATAAATGCCTTTTAAACAAAATCTATTCTTTTTATCAAATAATATAAAGTACAATATTTATTGTACGAAAATTGTGTATAAATCTTACTATCTTTATATTATTTAAAATTAAAATTGATTATTATACTTTATTATATTATTACAAACTAGATTATATGTAAGATGTTTCACAATACATTTCAAATTTATTTTCTAAATAAAAAAATTAAATTACTTTTAATTAAAAAAAATATTGAAATAATAAAAATGCGAAAAATAATAAATAGTTTATAAAAATTCGATAACAAACTCTTTTAATAACTAAGATAATCAAATTAAGACAGAACAAGTCACTCACCAACGTTACTATCGACCACTTCAAAAGGACTGGTGAAAGTATCGTGTTGCGATGCCGTTAGAGTCTTCAGATAATTCGCCATAGCGTTCAGAACCTTATCGGGACTATCTCCGTTGAGTTCTACTATCTTCTCCCATTTCTCCTTGTACTTGGATTTCAGAATCGCTCCAGCTATACCGATCAGATGGGAGACATAATCTTTATCCTGACTGTGAGTCAAATTCAACCCCACCAGGCTCTCTTCGTAACGTAGCAATGTCACCAACAAAGATTCCGCTACCAGAAGATCCGCTCCGTACATTTCCCTGGTGATATTCACCGCTCGATGAACGTCCTTCGCCATCTTTACGGCTACGTAGGTATTCAATGTGAGATCCTTGGTCTCCAGGGCCGCAAGCTGATGTCGTTGCTCAACGAAAGCCTCCGAAGTGCAATTGAAGAGATCAGGTGATTGCCAGCCGCCCAATTTGTCGTCACAGGATCTCGAGGCTTTGCCTTCGGCGGTGCCGGGACAGTCCTCGATGGCTGTCATCCCGAAGAGAGTCCGCGGCCACCACAGACCGTCCGAATATGATCTGGGACAGCCATCGTAGACTACTTCGCATCCCCTCAGAGTTACCTAAAACATTAATAAATATGAATATTAATTAATATAATATAAATAATCTTGATATTTATATTACATACTTTTATAGAAAGAGAGAGTTTAAAATTCTATTTTATTTAATAAAATAATGCATTATAATTAAAATGCATTTGATCTACCAATTTTATAATTAGTTTCGTCTTTTCAATTTATCTGGTAAATTTATCTTGAATATGTTATAACGCTGACTCTGACATATCATTTTATGTATGCTGTTATATATTCTTCTCACCTCGGCATAAGGATTCGGACAGTCGGTGCACGCTCGACCGATCACTCCGGTTCGGCAACGACATTGACCGGTCTCGCTATCGCAACGTGGCCCGAAGCTGCCGATCACGTAGCACTCGCAAGGTATGCATTCTTTGCGTCCGGTCGGTTGATAATGATTCTCCTTGCAGTAACATTCGCCGGTGGTTTTGTTACAGGCCGGATCGTAGCCCTTAGTCTCGTCGCAGTGGCATGGGCCGCATACCGGCGTGCCCCACCAGGTTGCCGGACAGGGCTGATCGGCTTTGATATCGCAATAATTGCCTGTGTACTCGGATGACGTACAATCGCAACGATAACCATGCTTCGACGTAGTTACGTCCTTCAAGCAATCGCCAGTTTGCTTGCACGGATGTAGGTCGCACACGGGCTCGCACTTGGGCCCAACGTAACCAGCGGCGCATACGCATTCGCTGGACTGCCAACGGGATAGGCAGATTGTAGTTTCCGGATCGCAATTGATTTCGCATTTGGATTTCGATGGGCAACCGACGCTCACGTTCTCCTTCACTGTCGGGCGGTGGAGTAGACTCTGGTTCGACCCAACCCGAATGTTCTGCAAGCAACCGTACAAAGGTTTCAATTGAGTGTCGATAGTCTGGTCGGGGCCTCCTACGAGTATTCGGCCGACGTAAAGACCCTGGAGCTTGGCGGGTAGTGGCAGAGTTGTTGGTCGATCCCGGTAATCGATATCTAGGGACACGTGGCCGCTCTGCCAAAGGATTTCTAGTCGATGCCATTCGCCATCCGCGACGGCGCCGGTAGTACCAATTACGTCCGCGCCGTCTAATGAGACTATTAGCTTCCCATCTCGAATCTCGAGTAGCACTGAGCTGTTCTGGCCGATTTGCACGTTCATAACGAACGCCTGTCGCTCTCGTGTTCGAAGACTCAGGGCGGTCAGCCAAGGCAACTGAATCGGTCGTAGCAGCGGGTTGAAGCTGAGCATACCATGCCCATTGAACATCCATGGTTGGCCGACCTCCTCGGCGCAGGTTGGGCCAGCGAACGCGTCCTCGCATTCGCAAAGAAAACCTGCCCATACTTCGCGGCATTTTCCATTATTTCTGCGCAAAAAACGATCGTTCAAGCACAATGTAAATCATTCTTATTAGTCTTGATGTTCATTGCGATAGAACATTTCAACCTGGATTCAAGTCATCTTAAAACAATAGATTTATATACGAACAAACAAATGATTTTAATCAAATAGTAAAATAAAAAAATTAGAATTAAATAAAAATTTTAGTGCCGACAATAAGAGATTTACGAAAAAGTTTTTAGTTGTGATTCTATAATTATTTACGGGAAAACAATATCCAAAATCGTGACGAAGAGAGAGAAAGGAAAATTCTTCCAAAAATCGAACTGTCAAATATTATTCGAAGCAGCCATTCATTATGAAAAAGATGAAAAGAAAAATATAATGTATTAAAAAGAAACGCGTGGATCCTTTGTTCATGACCACTTACCATCGATAAAATTGTCGGAGAAAATCAAAATTATTCATAAAAAGATAAAAAGCCGAAAACTTCAATTGTTAAATGATTAAGAGTCAAAGAAAGAGCGCAATTATATACCTGTAGCAGAAATAAAAGTAAACGAGACAAGTACCAAACAGAGATTAAGATAAAATAAATGTGAAAATAAAATGTCAAACAGTATAAGAGTAATTCAATTTACTCACTTATCGTGTCATTTCTTTTTTACTTTACACACTACAAATTGAACATCACGATATTAAAATTTTGGTATTTTTAGATAATAAAATATCCGCAACGAGAGTGAAAGACACAGGCAGACATATCTACCTGCGCTTCCGAAATTCTCGCTATGAAAACTAAGTCAACAGTCGATAGTCAGAAAACAGCCAAGCAAGAGCAAACCATATATAAACAGTAAACACAAAAACCGTAAACATACAATAGCGCGAAAAGAATAATAAATATGTTTCCTTCAGTTATTATAAATATAACATTGCTTTAGCAGCAATAAATTCAGTTTGGATAGTAACGTGTATTTCTTTATATCTATAATATCGTATTAAAAAATTGTTCTATATATTTAATTCTTTTAGTATTCTTTTTTTCTTTTTTTCAGATCTTGGCTTGTTCGGTTAAAAAATTATTTTGCTCATTTTTGTTCGAAATTTATGATTATATATAAAAATGACTTGAGAATCCATGTTAAAACATTCATAAATTATATTAATATTTTAAGATTAATTTTACGTATAATATATATAAAATTATATATAGAAGATGCACGAATTTCGTATTAATTGGTTCTCTACATCTTTAATTTTACTCCTCAAAAAATTAATTTTAGCAATATTATAATTGTAATAAAGCTTTGCCTTCTCAATTTGTTTCAAGCCGATACATTTTTTTAATTTATCCGCTAAAAAATTTAGTATAAAATATGTAAAAATTTTGCATTATAATAATTTCTGATAATCTTTTTCAACAAAAGAAATCAAACGTCTCTAAAAAAAATTTTACTGCAACAAATCGAGACAAAAGTCGATATCGGTCTTTTAAATTTTAATTTGGCAAATGCTATATTTTTTGTCAATTATTACCTGCAGGGCGATGAGGCGCAGAAGGCGGTCTTCTCAGGACAACCGGCATGGGTCCCGTTATCAGCCACGAAGGAGTTCAAGTCGACAAAAATGTGATCGATATAGAAATCACTGATACATCCAACATAGTCCTTGTTGCGAATTTGAAAATCGGATGGGATCGCTGGTAGACCGCCAAGTTGCAATGGTCCGGTTAGATCAAGGAATCTGTGACAGGTTTCGGTGACGAGCCCGCAGCGTTCCTCGAGAATTTTCTCGCTCCTACCGGCGCAGTTCCATCTCGGTCCCAGCCTTTCGCCATGCTCCAAAGCGAGTGCGATGTCGCAATCATCCAGGGACACCGTCACCGTTCGATTGATGTAAGAGACCTCGACCTCATGCCATCGTCCGTCCGAAACTCCACCGAGAATGCCCGCCGTGGCGCGGGTCACCTCGTCACCGAGAGAAAAGCTGAACTGCACCTGCGAGTCCACGATTTCCAGAGCGATGAAGTCATGACGTTCGTTGTACCTGCCATTATAGAGTAAGAGACCGTCGGTCAGCTCGGTAGCAAATTTTAGTCTGAGATGGAGACGATGACGTTGTCTGAGAGAGGCAAAGGTGAGAAACGTCGCCGGACCGAAGCTGCGCGCTCTAAGCTCGCAGAATGGTGTCACGTTCTCCAGCGCGGTTACGGGGCAATCCTCGCAGATAAAATCGCCGGTATTCTTGAGAGCAGTGCATTGAGAGCCGCCCTTGCAGACGCCAGGCGTTAAGCAAGCGTCATGATCTAACGAGATCTCGCAGTTCTCGCCGGTGAAGTCAGGCATGCAGATGCACGAGTATCCGTTTTCTCGTCTGTGACAAGTGCCACCATTCGCGCACGGATTCGAGTAGCATAGGTTCACTTCGGTGTCGCACATATAGGCTTCGCGGCTACCGGTGAAGCCGCGGCCGCATCTGCAGGCAAACGTCGTCACCGGATAGATGGGTCGGAAAAGAACTGTATCGCTGCTAGCAAAACCGGACGCGTTGCCAAACTTCAATACCGTCAGGCACTCCTCGAAATTTAAACAGGGTTCTCTAACGCAAAGATTGTCGTCGAAAGGTAAAACTGTGACCGTCGCCAGTCTTGCCAAGATACCGCGATTTAGATAGACCCGTTCTTGGAGAAACTGCGGACTGTAAAACTCGTCGATCGTGCCGGGCTCCACTCTGCGCGCCGAAAAACTCACGTTTAGGATCTTGGCGTTTACGTTTGCGTCTTCCTGAATGCTAAAAAGGAAGATGTTTTCGCGTGGGCACGGAATGATGGCTGCCAGACCATCCAAGAAATAACCCAGAAGAGGACTGAGAAACGCCTCCACTGTCATGTCGTCCAATCTCACTGTAATCGAGTTCAACAGCATTTCATCGGTGATCAAACGCACCGACAACGTCATCGTGGCCTTTGCCTCGTTGATGCCGTCCGTCACGGCGACCTCCATGGTCGCCACTCGCGGCACGTTGGTGTTGAGCTGCGGCGACAGCCGGATCTCTCCGGAGGTTTTGTTGAGATCAATCAAATTCGCATTGTTACCAGCGAGGATGCTGTAGACGAGATTGTCAGTAACGTCGGCGTCTACTGCCGGTATACGGCCGATCGGCGCGGTCGGGAAGAAATCCTTAAAGTTGTTAAAGATGATCTGGAAATCCTTGAGCACCGGCGCATTATCGTTCACGTCGGTCACTAGAATCTGCACAAGTGCGTCAGAGCGCAGTGGCGGCGATGCTGCGCGCACCACAAGTTCGAATCTCTTCTTTGGCGATTCATAGTCCAGTTCTTCGAGAGTAATAAGCTCTGCCCGATCGGCTCCCTGCCGGATATTTAAGGCAAAGCTGTTGGAGTCTTCGCCTCCAATGATGCTGTACTGCACCACCGCGTTTGGACCCTCGTCCGGATCGTGGGCATAGATTTCGCCCACGGTCGAACCGATCGGCGAGTTCTCGGCGATATAAAGAACGATCTTGTCATTTTCGAAGGCGGGCGGCGAGTCATTGATGTCCTCGATTTTGACGATGACCGGAACGACGGATGAAAGCGCGGGTGAACCGCGATCTATGGCAACGGCTTTTAACGCGTAACGCGCCACCGATTCTCGGTCCAGTGGCTTCGCGGTTCTAATGATACCTGTCGTAGAATCAATTGCGAATGCGCTGTCACCGTCGTCCTCTAAAGCATACCTCACCTGGAACATGTATTAAATTCATTAAAAACTCAAGAAAGAAACATTAAATCATTTATTTAATTACAATTTTAAAAAAATTATACTCACCCGGCCATTGAGATCAGTATCCGCATCGGTCGCTGCAATCCTGAGCACACTGGTACCCACTAAAACATCTTCAGGAACTGATCCGTGATACTGCGGCGCCTCGAAGACCGGCGCATTATCATTCACGTCCGTAACAGAAATCTCCACGTCGGTGGTATCTGACAACGGCGGTATCCCGCCGTCTCTGGCGGTCACCGTCAATAAGTACGAGGGTACTAGTTCGCGATCGAGCGCTTTAGTCGTCGTGATCGCTCCGGTCTGTGGATTGATGGTGAACTCGTTGATTGCTTGTTCGCCATTATCAGTGGCCAAGCTGTAAGTGATCTGGGCGTTCTTGCCAACGTCAGAATCGGTGGCGCTGACCACCAGGACGGTCACGCCGACCGGCGCGTCTTCAAATACCGAGACCGAGTACGGCGCGTTCTCAAACACTGGCGAAAAGTTGTTGGCGTCCGACACGTTGACGTAGACCAGAGAGGTGTCGGTGCGGCCGCCGCTATCCGAAGCTGTTACCGTCAGAACGAATCGCTTTTCCTGCTTGTAATCAAGCGGCTGGGCAACGGTGATGAGGCCGCGGCCGTTTTGCGACGCAATGGAGAAGCGTCCGCGCGTGTTGCCACCTGTAATCTCGTAGTGGATCCTAGCGTCCTCGTCCGGATCAGTAGCGGTCACCGAGGCGACCGGAGTGCCCGGCGGATCGTCTTCGGATATTATGGCCTCGTAGTTCTTCGGCTCGAAATAAGGATCGTTATCGTTCACATCGGTCACCGTGAGAATCACCGTCGCGCTCGCGGATTTTGGTTCCTCGCCAGAGTCCGCCGCGATTACGATAAATTGGTATCTAAAATAAAAAAATTTCGCGTCACAACATTTATAAAAGAATTTGTTTTTATCGAAATTTATAAAATATAATAAATTATTTTTTGTTTTCGATTACTAGCTTTGAATACTTTCTATAAACTTCCTATAAATTATACGCTAGTTTTTTATATTATAATCTTTTACAACTCTGACTAAATGTTTATAATATATTGTAGTAATTAATAAAAGAAATTAATACCTCGAGCATTCTTCGCGATCCAATTGCTTCGTCGTGTAAATCCAGCCAGTTTCCGTGTTAACGGTGATGGGAAAGTTCTCCGTAGAGGCGCCAGTGAAGTCGCGCGCGCCGATGTTATATTTGATAAGCGCGTTGTTACCCTCGTCAGCATCGTACGCCTGTACTCTCAATACCGAGTAACCTAGCGGCACATTTTCCGACACTGATTCTTGAAAATGGCTCGTGTAGAATCGTGGTGCGTTATCGTTCACATCTCTGACCATCACCAACAATTGAGTGGTGTTGGATCGAGCGGGCGAGCCGCCGTCCTGGGCGCGTATGACGATTTTGTAGTTCCTGATAGATTCGTAGTCGAGCGGCTTGACCAAAACGACGTCGCCACTCATCGAGTCGATGGAGAATGTGTTCTGCGTGTTGCCGCCGATGATGGCGTAGCGGACAGCCGCGTTGGCGCCGGCGTCCGCGTCCGTCGCCCGGATATGAGCCACCACCGGATTAGTCGTATAGTCCAGATCCTCCGACACGGACGCCGAATACGTTCGTTCAGTGAATTGCGGATAATTGTCGTTGTCATCCAGCACGTGTACCACCAGAGTCGCATTCACGCTTCGTCGTGTCGACGGTGGTGTTGCTTGATCCGTAACGCTGAGTACCACTGTATAAACTTCGGTCACCTCGCGATCGAGCGCGGTCCGTGTGGTGACTACGCCGGATCTGAAAATGGATGAAGATTATTTTTGTTTTGTCTAAATGAGACTTGTACGAAATTAAATTTGAGGCTTGATCTTTAGAAATTTTGTTATAAAATCTTCTATGAATAAATATATAAAATATTATTTTTTGTATATAAGATTTATCATATATAATATATCGCAAAATATAATTTTCTTAAATTTTAAAAGGGATTTCAAAAAAATAAGAAAATAACAAGATTATATATTTGATATCTGAATATCTACTGACCTAGAATCGATTCTGAAAGTTGCCGCGTCTTCCGTATGCGTGGTAGTACCACCTGCCGTGATAGAAATGATAGAATACTCCACCTCGGCGTTTCTGCCAGTGTCCTGGTCCGTGGCTTTGACTGTAACCACGGTGGAGCCCACGGGGACACCCTCTCGTACTGACGCATCATATTCCGACCATTCAAAACTGGGCGTGTGATCGTTCGCGTCTAATACATTGACCTGAAGAGTCGTTGTGCCGGTTCGCGGTGGAAACGAGTCGTCTACTGCCAGTACCTGTAAAAAAATATAACAACTTAATTATGCAATTTATATATTCCTTGTGTTAAAATCATCTTCTCCAACTTTGTGATTTTGATACTTACCCGGAAATAGTGCACGTCGACGTTCTCTCTGTCCAGTCTGGCACGAGTCGTCACTTTTCCGGTCACAGGATCGAGAGCTAACAGCGCCTGCGATCTCGCATCAATCAGCGAGTTCATCGAATATCGCACGGCGCCGTTTTCGGGATCTCTAGCTCTTACTGAAGTCACGTATACCCCCGGCTCTTTCTCCTCTTCCACCGCGGCGACATAGAAAGATTGCTCGAAGTACGGCGACTGATTCTTTAGCTCTCGCCTCACCCTTCTACCCAGATCAGTGTCGTCCAGTTGACGGTGATGGAAAACAATCTTCAGCCGATGCTCGGCGTCGGTCAGACGCGAATCACCGGTGCAACGCAGGATCATGCTGACCGAGACTTTCCATAATGGATCCACCAAGCATTGCTCGGTGGCGGAGACCAGATCTCCGGCGGCGCCCTCCACGAGAAATCTGGGATCTGCCACTCCGCCCCATCTGGTTTCGCATTCCTTCAAGGCCGTCTGCGGTAGGAAATCGCGGAGAGCTGCTACTAGTTGAGACGTTCGCAGACACACTTCGGTAAACCTGTCAATGTAATTAAATCTTTACTTATAAATTTTAAGTTAAAGCAGCTTTTCAATATATCTTGACTGCAAATTATTTTATTTTGCAAATTTTCAATCAGAAAAGAAATTTTCATAGCTTTAATTGTTATAGTTAATATGTTTATGGTTATCCTAGCCATTTTCTTCACGACAGTTTCTTTTTTTTGTTGCAGAATTAGATATATTTTTATATATGCATATAAATACAATCATAAAAAAATTATATCTATATCTTGAATCAAACCAATTATTAAAGTTATAATTAATATATTCACGATCATTACTGATTACTCTATTTCTTTTCAGGAAGGTTTCCTTTTTGCCATAAAGTCTCTTATAGAAATATACATATAGAAATATATATTCACCGTATCTATATCTCGAAGCAAACCAGTTAAGCTCGAATATTACAAGTCACTAACTCAATTGACATTTCCTTTATCTAATGATAAGACTGAAATCTGATCCAACCTGTCAGTGCTGGGCATCGCGTAAGAGGCCAGAGTCTCCGCCATCCAGCCCCTGGTAGCTGCCAGGTCGCGATTTTCCCCGCCGCATCCGGTGATCAGGATCCTCAGCGGCAAGCTGTAGTAGTCGATGGTGGGTCTACCAAGGCGAGAGCTCGTCGAGTCGACGTAAAAAGTGAAGACGCGCGGGTACTGGAGTCCATCGCAGCTCAGCGTCCTCGCCAGGGTCACGCGACCCGTGTGCGGATGCACCTTGAGGAGCTTCCGGGCGAACCAGGCGGTGCGCTCGCTCGAAGCCTCATATTTCCGCCGACCCCCCAGCTGCGGCACCCCGGCCTCGAAGACGAGGGCACCGACGGGCGTGCTGGACGGCAGCACCGCCAGGTAGCCGTCGACCAGCACCCAGACGGTCGTCAGGATCAGCAACGTCCATCCCCACCGCGCCATCCTGGCCGCTCGCACTTAATCCGCGCGATCCTGCAGTCTGTTATGTCCTCTCCCTGACGCACGTCTCGTTGCGTCAGGATCCATCTACGGAATGATAAAGCGACGTCAAATTTTCTGTCAAGGAAAGATCAATAAATTTAAATTCGCCAGAGAATTTCATTTAGCGATCTTGTTTCTCTTGGCCATAATTATTTACTTTATGAACCGGATGCTTTTCGATGATGAAAATATATTAGAGCAACGTTATTATCAAAAATAAAAAAATATAAGATGATTGAGGAGATATATTAAAAATAATAAATTAATTTAAGCAACAAAACAATATATTATTTCTAAAAATTATAGTTGTAATATAAAATTCAATTTTTTAAGACAAACAGCGTATCCATAAAACTTAAAGAATAAATTAAATTAAATTAAATTAAATTAAAAATCATATTCTAACTTCTATTCTCTCCTAATGGAGAGCATTAATATAAAACGAATTAATATAAAATCAAATCGTGATTAGAATAACGACTAGAATAACGATTGATTTATAATTAAAAATTCAATTTGCTTGTTGACGAAAGCCATGTTGAATTGCGTTACTAATACAGTCATCGCGTTGGAACAAGGAAGGCCTCAATTGGCTTGAAATAGAGAAGATAAATTTCTCATTTTATTAGAAGGACGAGGGCAATCTTCTCACTTCTTTAAAATAAGCAGCTTCAAGATGACAGTTCTTCGAACTCCTTAAGGCATTGAAAAATATCGGGAATAAGAACGAGAACGCAGGAGAGATGACAGTAATCGGGAGGAGCGACTGGGGAAGCATGTAATCCCACGTGGATCTCTTCTCGTTTTCTCTCTTCTCGCGTTCTTTTCTCAACTCGACCCGAGAAAACCGCTCGGATCCGAGTATATATATAAGGACACGAGGCCAAGAGCCTCGTTCTTTCTTTCGTTTCGCAGAGTTAATCGCTATCTCGATCGAGTACTCATAATCGTCGCTGTACAAACGACGATTTTCGAGATGCACGAGTTTCTCCCCTTCTTGAGAATAGCGACCTTTCCTCCTCGCCGCGGCGCGCAAAACGTGGGAAACGAACTACTTCCGGTCGTGCCCTCGGCGCGGATAAGGCGCTGAAAACGCCGGCTCTCGTCGTCGTCATCGTCATCGTGAGAGGGATTCGTTGACCCCCCCCCCCCCCCCCCCTATTCGCGTTACACGCGTACTCGCTCACGCGCTTACATCGCCACGAGTGTACATAATTTCCCTCGAACGCGTTTCTTCACGCTCGGCTTCCGCGCGCGATCGCGAGAAAGCGATCGCGAGCAACGGGATCCCGAGAAGAAACTCGTAAAAATTTCTCCGATTAGAAGAACCGTACGCGAGAGAAAGAGGGAGAGGGAGAGAGAGAGAGAGATATATTTCTATTAATTCAATTCGAATTCTTCATTAAGTGCATCAGCCTAATTAGGTATCGCGTTATTATAAGTCTCATTTACCGTTCTCGTTATACTACATATGGTCAAACTTTTCAATGTTCGAGCTAAGTACGAACGCTAATGGACGTCCTTGACATCTAACTTTGCGGAACAATGAGCGAGTGTAATTCACGCTCCGAAGGAACGGAAGATCTCTATCTGCGGTTTATCATGATCCTCGTTGCACATCTGCCTGCTTACATATGCAAGACACATCTTATTCTATTCTTTTAGAAACATGATTCCTTTGATAAAAATGGCAAGATAATTATAACTTTCTCAACAATTTTCTTGTTTGAGAAAAAGAGTTCTCTCTCATTACGATTCTTTACTTCGGTGAAATTAGCTTTAAATTTCCAACAAATTAAAAAAGATCAATAAGATCTTAAAACATGTCAAGCTGTGAATTTCCGGCGAAATAAATATGACATCTCCACCCACACTCCATTTCGACGCTGATAAACCCGGATCTCCTATATTCGAGTATCGAAAATTTAAGTAATGCGGTTCGATATCAGCGCGAATGTATAAATTGTGAGACCGAAATATCGCTTGTTATTTTACTCGTCTCGTTCTACCTGTCGTAGATAGCGTGGAATTAAATTTAACTCTTCAGCGATTCGACTTTGGAACCGTTCGATTTTGAAGCGAGAATTCTGTTTAAAGAAATAAAAAAAAATCTCCACTCGTTGCGCACGAACAATTGCGACGAAAAAATTCGGCGGAAGAATCAAACGCGAGAGAAAAAAAAAAAATCGGAGGATAAATCGTACAAGGAAGATGCCGTTAGATTTTTTGATTGCGACGTTTAAGATGTCTCAATCAGACGAGGTTTGACGTAAGACTTCCAAACGAGGAGAAGCGCACGTCGACGTTTGCACAATAAACACGAGCAGGTTGATTCATGTACTCGACGAGACTCTCGAGACTCGATTCTGTATCGCGTCTCTCGATCCATGACTCCGGTAACAGGTATGTATTCGCAAACCGCATCTCGTTCGAATCGATTTGCCGCTACCGAGTACCGATGTTAACGCGACGACTTTTTAAGCATGCCGTGACGAGAAAACGACGATTCGCCCGTTTAATGTACAGATGATTGGATTTATTGATCCGCGAACTGGATGTGAAATTAAGAAAACACATTTGTGGACGTTTTTGCATAACATACATAGTTTTTTTCGATATAAAATATCGATAAAAAATTTGAATAATTATTATAAGCTAATATTATTAATATTTACAAGAGTCACAATTATAAATTTGTACATTAATTGTGGATAATTATTTTTAAAGATAGAGATTATAAATATTATTTTTATAATTGTATAGACCAGAGACTTTGTAAAATATACATAAGTAATCTTTTCCTTCTAAAATCGCGGCTTTAAGACGATTTGGAAATAAGCTCCTCTCCAACTGTCAACTCAATTTCAACGTCGAATTACGCCGTCGACTAATCTCTCTATTGAACACCGTTAAATCCAACGTGAGCGCGAGAGAGAATATTCAAATGGCGAAACTGTGCGTGCAAGAAACTCGCGTGTAAGCGGAGAAACTTTAGTCCGCGCGGCGATGCATAGCCACGAGATTCAAGATGCATCCGCGGTGGCATATCCTCCGCACCGCGAGATTATTCCGCTTGGCCGATCCCCCGAGATCGCGGCGGCTAGAGAATCGACCGTTCGTGCCGAGGACCCGATATTTACCTCGTACCACGTACAACAAGTCCGGCCGATCGTCCTCTTCGTCGCCCGAGGGCATCTAGCCCGATCCGGTTCTCGCCGATCCCGCACGAACCAATCGAACCCGGGGCCCCCGTCGCGACGGTCGGGGGGGGTTTATCCGCGGGAGACAAGATGGAGAGAAGAGACGGAGAGCAACAAGGAACGTCACGTTAAATTGTACGCTCGGCGATTCGAGTTTTCCGCTTGAAAATCGAGAGATCTCCAAGTAATATTAATTTAAATTTAAAATCGAGAAGAATTTCATCGCTCGCAGATAAAAGGTTTTAATAATTAACAATTATTCAGATAAAAGTAAATTTTCTTAACGAGCGACAAGGAGAAGGAGATAAAACCGTGACATTATATAAGTCTCGTTTATCTAAATTGGAGTTGCCTGCGCCAACACCGTTGACATTAATTTTTCCGCTCGATTTTCGAGAAGCCTTCACAGACACATCTCTGTGGTTATCTCCCGAGAAGCGTTTCGGCTAAAGGCTTCCTGATAATGTTATCTGCGTGAGATATTATGGAAATTTCTCGCGGCTTTCAGGCGAGAGTTACCTTTCATCCGCTCCTCTTGTCTAATTTTAAAGTCTAATAGTTACATTGATGCGCGACAGGGACCCCGTTCATTTGCGTTTCATATATAGTTTGATATATTCCGATGATAATTTCACGATCAAAAATAAAATTATTCCGATGAATAAATTACTCTTAAGATAAACAAGGAACGATCTCTCCAGTGTTTTAGGACAAAAAGGACGCGTAAAATTATCTTAATAGCGAGGGCAGGTTTTTTCAGGTCGTCCCGAAGGACGCGTCGTTTCGCTATTAAATGAAACTGACTGGTCCACTGTTGGAACTATTAATTATTTTGAAAGAGAAGTCGACCCGACTCTCGCTGTGGAATCCGGTCCCGACAATTATCTCGTGCGTCTTCCCTCGCGGACGAAATCTCCGGGGACCTTCAAGGGCCCCGAAATACTTGTATCGATGCCGCACGCTGTTTGGATGAATCAACCGCAACCTGTTATCTCGAATGAGACTACTGACGGAAGAAACGGCAGGATTTCACTGCTTTAATAGAGACGTATAAGCGCGGGTGACCGTCCTTACGGACATTTATGCCATTACCGAAGTCTCCGAGATGAAGACTACCGAAGATACTCGGCCTATAAGAGCCCATAAAAGCTTTCGACATCCTTCTCTAATCGACTCTTTCGATTAACTAGACTTTTATTACGGAATTTATAAATTTTAGGATCTTCAAAATATTTTACGCCTGCATTTTAATTCTAATCCCTTAGATCGAATAACTTGGGGATATATTTTATAAAAACAATTATTTTAAGTGAGTTTTTTTGTCTAAATATTGAAAACTGTCGAATCTCTGCTTCTAAAGATTTTATCGGCATTCTTTAATCAGCTACTTTTAAAAAATACATTACATTAGTTAAACTTTTACCATGGAACATCTTTAGAGGATAAAGTTACAAAATTAGTTCCAATATTCAAATTAAAAAAGTCATGTGTAATAAAAGTCATGTCATGGCCAAATTTTGTAAATTAACAAAAGAATATTTTAATTATTTAAAAATAAGATTAAAAAATATTGTCGCTGTTATATATTTAAAAGATTATTAAATCCTTGCGCTTTTTAAAATTCTGTGTTTTTCCGCCATTTCTTTTTAAAACAGCATCCTAAATATACGAGACACCCTGCAGAGAATACAAATCATCTATTTGTACGTATATGAAACTGAGAACGTATCAACAGCCATTATACGAAGAACCTTGGTAGAGAAACCCCGCTGTCTCTATGATTCCGAAGGAATCAATTCCCATTCCGTTACGCGGGAAAAAAAAAGAGAGAAGCAAGATAGTAAA